AGCTGCTGGGCCTCCTGCCCCTGGAGTCGCCCTCCCCCGTCCGTCCTCACCTGGAAGGGCTTGGCCTCAGAACCACAGCAGCCCACGCCCTGACCGCAGCCTCTTACACATTTTTTTTATATTAGTGATGATGTTTACATAATTGATCAGGGAAAAGTGGGTGAGACCCCTTGTTTACACATTTTCTTCTTCCCGTAACACCCCAACCGCCGCGTTACCCCTGGGGATTGTGGAGCTGCCACGCACTGTCACCCCAAGTTCCCGCTGTGGAGGCTTTTCGGAGGATGCCGCTCACGTGTTTCCCATACTTCCCACACGCTGCTGACGGCTCCGCTCCACTCTTTCCGAGGTTGGTTGGCATGGCCTCCTGTTCTTCCACTGCAGGGCACCTGGCCCTCCGCATACACCCTTTCCACCAAGCCCCTGCTGCCTTCCCTCCCTTCCCGTCCCCTCCCCATCCACACCTCACCCACCCTGGCATCTCCACCCTGCCCGTTCTGTGTAGACATCAGCCAAGTCCCCCCACTGCCCCGCCAAAGAACCAAATCATCCACCTGCTGAGCTGAGGTGCCCTCAATGCATGAGCCCAACTTCACCTGGGCACCTCCTATGCCATCACCCTTCTCCTGCCCTGGTGCCCCCGACGGGAAGACGCCAGACAGACTGGGCCTACACTTCCTGCCGCCCACAGACTCCCTCTCCGCCCTTTCCTCCTTCCTTCACAGGGCACAATGGGAGAGGCGTGGGGCTAATCCCACCTCCCAGCAGGATGCGTTGCACCATCCAGCCCTTTGTTTTTGGGCATTCCAAGCACCCTTGCCCGCCTGGGTCCAGGGTCATGGTGGCTGCTCCAGGTTGCACAAGCCCAGGGAGGGAGGACCCCACGCGGCCGAAGCTTCCTGGTCTGCACGAGGAGGACCATGAGTCCTCATGTCACAGACCAGCTGGGAGCGGGACGTGGTGAGCAAAGCTGGGCATGTGAGGCTGTGTGTGGTGGGCACAGCAACCAGGGCTGATGCCCTGGACAGCACAGCCAAGGCTCAAGGGCAGACCTTGCATCTGCACATGAACAGTAAAGAAAGCCATCTTCCATCTATTGAGTGTCCACAAGGACCAGGGCTGGGCCAGACCAAAGCGAGGATGCAAGGGCTCCTACTGGGTCTCCCGCGTGGGCGCGAGGGCCCAAGCACTTGGGCCATCCTCTGCTGCCTTCCCGAGGTGCATGAGCAGTAAAGTTGGACAGAAAGTGGAACCTCTGGCACTTGAATAGGCGCCCATGTTGGATGTCAGCACTGCAGGTGGTGGCTTAGCCCGCTGTGTGTACTCCAACACAGGCTTGGGGTTTACCCTTTTGTAAACCCTCATGGTTTGCAATATATACTGTGCTCAATAAGTGTTGCTAAGAGAGAGAGAGGTGTCTATTTTGTTCTCTGCTGCTTCCCAAGTGCACACAGCCACAATGGACACACAGCGAATGTTCTGAATGCTGGCTGAAAGGCAGGTGGGAGAGAGGAGAAGCGGGAAGGACTCCCAGACTGGACAGACAAAGCAGGACACGTGCACGGGTGGGAGAGTCCTCAGCCCTGGAGGGGGGAGGAGACGCGGACACTGGCCGCAGCGTGGGTGGGCCTGGAGGGCGCAGTGCTGGGAGAAGCAATCCCTGCAGCAACCAGCCAGCGCCGAGCAGCTCCACGGGGAGCAGCCAGGCTCAGGAAGGCAGAACGGAGGACACAGGAGGCCAGCTTGGGGACTGGAGCCACTGTTTACTGGGTGCAGGTATCTGGCTGGGCAGATGGAGGGGAGCAGACAGTGGCGGTGCTGCCTAGTGGCACAACGTCCTTCCCAGGGACTTGGGTGCACATGGGACATGGGACGCGGATGGAGCATCCTGGCAGCCCTGGGGCAGCCTCAGGGATGGTGCTTGTGCTTGCACGCTCAGTCATCCATCAGGTATTACACACAAGGCTGCACTACACTCCAGGAGTGGAGCTTCTGCGGGGAGCCGGCTGGGACAAGGTGGGCTGCTGCAGCTGTGAGGGTCTCCACCTCCCTAGCCTCCCTTGCAGGTTTAAGAGGGCCAGGCCTGAGGGCTGGGGTTGCGACACAAAGGCACAGCCTGTAGAGCCAGCATACCACATGGGTGCTGGTTCATGTCCCAGCTGCCCCGCTTCCCTGTCTGTGGCCTGGGACAGCAGTCGAGGACGGCCCAAGGTCTTGGGACCCTGCACCCGCGTGGGAGACCCAGAAGAAGCTCCTGGCTCCTGGCCTCTGCTTGGCCCAGCCCTGGCTGAAGCAGCCATTTGGAGAGTGAATCAGTGGATGGAAGATTCTCTTTCTCTCCCTCTTGCTCTGTAATTTTGCCTTTCAAAGCAACAAATCTTTTTAAAAATAAAACAGGGACCAGGCCCAGTGCAATAGTGCAGTGGTTAAGGTCTTCGCCTTGAACACGCCCGGGTCCTCTGTGGATGCCAGTTCAAGTCCCAGAGGCTCCGCTTCCCATCCAGCTCCCTGCTTGTGGCCTGGGAAAGCAGTCGAGGACGGCCCAGAGCATTGGGATCCTACACCCGTGCGGGAGACCCAGAAAAGAAGTTCCTGGCTCCTGGCTTCGGATCGGCGCAGCACCAGCCGTTGCGGCCACTTGGGGAGTGAATCAGTGGCCAGAAGATCTTCCTCTGTCTCTCCTCCTCTCTGTACATCTGCCTTTCCAATAAAAATAAATACAAAAACAGGGACCTCGTGTTTTCTAGAGAATTCTTGACCTTTTTATTATGTTTTAAGTCTGTCCCCTCCCTCCCAGGGTGCATGTCCCCAGGGAGCTGGACGAGGGGTCCGAGCGGGCGTCACAGTGACCCCAGTGTGGGCGACTTCCCCGGCAGTGTCTTACCTGTGTGTGACAGCATTGCTGCTCGCATGTGTGAGCACACGTGTACATCACTGCATCTATGTCATGTGTGTGCGCACGTGTGTGTACACGTGGTTTGTTTCTTGTCACTGGGTCTCCCTTACCAAGGCTTCCTGCTCAAAACACAGGGTGGGGTGGGGGCCCGAGGGGCAGAGGTGGTCCACGGGAAATACATATGCCAGGCAGACACGGGTGAGTGGGCCCACGTGCAGGTGCCCAGGCAGAGCCAGGCTAAGTGCCACAGTGACCACGGCACACTCAGGAGGCAGCTGAGGGCCAGGAGCGTACAGGTGGGGCTCTGAGTCACCGCGTGGTCCCGCACCGGGCTGCCAGGCCCGGGCAAATGACCATCATTAGGGCATTTAACAGGCTGGGGGAGGGCCTGGAGGACAGGCCCGCCCCAAGTTAGGAGGGAGCCCCCAGCCCCAGGGCCCCACGACAGGCTGGAGAGAAACCTCCTCATCTCACCGGCTCTGCCTCTCCCGTCCTCTCCGAGTCCCCGCCCCAATTTCAGTCTCCACCCTGTCTCTGTCTCTCAGTCTGGGACTCTCTCTCTGGGTCTCTGTGCCCCCTTTCTCTGTGTGTCTCTGTCCCCTCTCTCTCTCTGGGTCTCTGTCCTCTCTCTCTCTCTGGATCTCTGCCGGCCCTCTCTGGATCCCCATGTCAACTCTCTGTACTTCACTTTCTCTCACTGTTCTGCTTAAGTTGGACATCCCCAGCTCTGGCACCAGTCCAGGACAGAGGACCCCAAATGGGAAAGCCAGAGGGACAGGACTGTCCCTGCCCAGGTGTGTCCACCTCTCTGTCCAGCCTGGCCTCCTCCGTCCAGGTCCGCAACCCCGGATGTCCCCACTGTCACTTGTGTGCTCCGACTTCCTTCTGCCACACTTCACCAGCTCCTCGCTGCTCTCCACTGTCCTGCACCGCCACTGGGATCCCGCCGGTGAGGGAACACACGGGCAGAGGGGTCTCTCCTGCTCTCCCACCCCACCTGCTCACTCTGAGTCTATTCTTCTGTCTCCATTTGCTTCCCCTTTATTTCTTTTAAAGTTACTTATTTACCTGAAAGGATGTGTGTGTGTGTGTGTGTGTGTGTGTGTGTGTGTGTGTGTGTGTGTGAAATTCTTCCATCTGTTGGTTCCCTCCCTAGATGGCCACAGCAGCCAGAGCCGAGCTGATTCCAAGCCAGGAGCCCAGAGCTTCATCCGGGTCTCCCACGCGGGTGCAGGGTCCCAAGCACTCAGGCCATCCTCCACTGCTGTCCCAGACACAACAGCAAGAGGCTGCATCGGAAGTGGAGCTGCTGGGACTCGAACCGGCACCCCTCTGGGATGCTGGCTGTGAGGGCGGGGTCCTCATCTGCTCTGCCACGGCGCTGGGGCCTGCTTCCCTTGGCACATTTCTGCTCTCAGCTCCTGGGGGCACCCTGTGCCTCCCTCCCCCATCTCGGTTTTTCTCCCTCTATGTCTTCTGCCTGGCTCCCCATTCACCTTCCTCCTCTTCGCCCCCTCCCCTCAATGCCCCCTGCCTTCAAAGCAGCTCCTTCTGGGAGCCTCCCGTTTCTCTGAGGAACTGCACAGCCTCCATCCCCAGGCTGTTCTCCCCCTCCACCCCACCGCACCCCAACTCCCCCAACCCACCACGAGTCCACTGCCCAGCTCCAGCCCCAGGCAGACAGGTTCTCAGGACAATTACAGCTGCTCCTACTGCCGTGGAGGCTTGGGAGGGGACGAGGCCGGGCAGTCTTGGAATGGGAACAAGCAATAAAAAAAAAAAAAAGGCAAGAGCAGACAGTGGGGGCCGGGCCAGCTGCCCAGACCGGGGATAAAAGGCTTTGCCAGGTGACTGCGAAGGGAGTCCCCACCCTGGCACCTTTCCCCACCCAGCCGTGAGCCGCTCAGCATCCACAGCCCTGTGGTCGCTGCTGCGGGGGCCACCCAGGACCCCGCCCGCCACTGGCCGCTACTCCACCCCTTCCCCGTCTCTGAGGGTCTCTGAGTGAGTCATTGTCAGCTGTTGAGTCTCCTGCAGACACAAGATCTCTCTCTCTCTCCTTTCTCCTTCTTCCCTCTCCCCTAACCCCCGTCTAGCTCCCAGAATGCTCCTGCTGGTGGCACTTTACGTCTTGGCTGTAGGTAAGGGGGTGCGAAGCCAGGGGAGCCTCCCTAAAGGCTTCGGGAAGAGCCCGACACAGGCTCCCGGGGACGTGGGGTGCTCCTAGGGTCCCCAGTGAGAACGAGGCGGGGAGGGGAACTGTGAGGTCCTCGGTGGGTCAGACCCCAGGTTCTCAGTCCCATTGGAGAGGAACCCCGGGGTGAGTAGCAGACCCTGGGGTGGATCCTGCCGCGTGGGAAGGCTGGGAGCCCCTTGCAGGTGTTGGTGGAGACGGTGTGGGTGACATTGGGACGTGTGAGCTCAAAGGCGTGTGGAGTCAGGGGACAGAGATGCAGTGAGACCCTGGGGCAGTGGCCTTGGAGCTGCCACCGAGGCGAGGCGGCTGGCAGGAGCAGTCCTGGGACAGTCAGGGGTGTGTGGGGGTGGGCGATGGGGAGCGGCTGAAGTTGGGGAGTCGGATGTCCTGTGGGGTGAGGGACGGGGTGTCCGTGCTTACTGTGCTGCTGCTCCCAGCCACGGCGCAGAGCCAAGATGATGACAACAAGATCATCGGAGGCTACACGTGCATCCAGAACTCCCAACCGTGGCAGGTGGCGCTGCTGGCGGGCCCCGGGCGCAGCTTCCTCTGTGGGGGCGCCTTGCTGTCAGCCCGGTGGGTCATCACAGCTGCCCACTGTGCCCGCCCGTGAGTGCCCCATCCTTGCCCTTCTTGGGTTAACGGGGAGCCCAGAACTGGGATGAGAGAGCTCAGAGCCCACAGCCCAAGCATGGCTCAGCTGTGCTTCCCCACAGCCTTTGTGAAGTCCCTTCTTACAGCCCAAGCCAGCCTCGGGGCAGAAGCCAAGACCGCTCTGTTCCACGTCCAAGAGGACAGAAACACTCCAGAACCCAGAGCTGGCTTCAAGGCCTGGGGTCCAACCACAAGGCCTGGGGTCCAACCGCCAAGGCCTGGGGTCCAACCACCAAGGCCTGGGGTCCAACCACAAGGCCTGGGGTCCAACCACAAGGCTTGGGGTCCAACCGCCAAGGCCTGGGGTCCAACCACAAAGGCCTGGGGTTCAACCACAAGGCTTGGGGTCCAACCGCCAAGGCCTGGGGTTCAACCACAAAGCTAGTAGTTGTGCTGTTGGGAACCCAGTATGCTGGGCTACAGCACCTTTTGAGGACTAGACTCTAGGTTTCAAATGTCAGAAGGCAGATCCCTCCTCTGAAGGCACCTCCTGCCCCACCCAGGCATCCCTGAAGTCTCTCCCAGATTTTAGGCCTAAACTGAGAACCCAGCTGGTAATGAAGACCTCACATTCCAGGCTAGAGCTATCCCAGGGTGTATGACGAGCCAAATCCAACGCCACAAACCCAGCTCCCTAAGCCAACCTCAGTCCAAGATATAATATAATCCGAGAGTGGCGGCCAGCCTCCAGGACCCCGAGTCCAGGCCACAGCCCTGAGAGCCGGAAGGACTAGGTAGAGAATCAAGAACAGGCTGCAAGGGCATCCAAGGCTCAGGCCAAGGCGTAGGACCTCAGAGCGCCACCCACTGGCTGAAACTGAGGCCGCAACCAAGAGCTGCCTCGAGGCCCCTGGCTCAGGGGGTGGTCCCCGCCCTCACAGAGCCCCCATGTGGGGACGGCGCGCCCCCAGAACCAAGTGCTCTGGCCTTGAGGGACCCCGGCCATCCCTAGAGCTTTGACCCCAGTGCAGAATCAGCACTGGAAGCCACAGCCTGGGCCACCATCAGGATGGGAGGGTGGGGCTGCGTGCAGCAAAGCCACTTAATTTTTTTTTTTTTCTTGAACGATGTATTTATTTTGTTTGGAAGGCACAGTTAGAAAAACAATCTTCCTTCTGCTGGTTTGCTCGCTAAATGGCCACAATGGCTGGAGCTCAGCTAGCCTGAAGCCAGAAGCCAGGAGCTTCCTCTGGGTCCCCCGTGTGGGTGCAGGGACCCCAGCACTTGGGCCATCCTCCACTGCTTCCCCAGGGGCACTAGCGGGGGGCTGCATCAGAAGTAGAGCAGCCAGGACTCCAACTGCTGCCTGTGTGGGGTGCTGGTGCTATAGGTCGTGGCTATATATGCTGTGCCATAGCGCCGGTCCCCAAAGCCATTTCATTCAGAGCTAAACCCAGTCTCCCTTGGAACCCAGAACCCACACAGACCCTGAAACTGGGCCCAGAACACTGAACCTTCCCCACACCCCCAAGCCAGGAGCCAGAGCACGGTCACAGGAAGAACACGGGGAGGCCTGTGGGGCTGGGTCAGGAGAGACCACCCAGGCAGGGACGCTGGCCTGTGGTGGAGGGAGCAGGCTGCACTTGGGGGGGACACACACCAGGAAGCAGCCTGTGAACGGTGTTATTCCTGGGGGTGGGTGTCTCGGGCCAGGATCCTCCGGGTGGCCCTGGGAAAGCACAACCTGAAGAGGTGGGAGGCGACCCAGCAGGTGCTGCGCGTGGTCCAGCAGGTGCCACACCCAAGCTACAGCTCCAGCACCCACCAGCACGACGTGATGCTGCTGCGACTGGAGCAGCCGGCCCGGCTTGGGAGGGCCGTGAGGGCCATCGCCCTGGCCCAGGCCTGTGCCAGCCCCGGGACCTCCTGCCGAGTATCAGGCTGGGGGACGACGTCCAGCCCGATCAGTGAGGACCCCATAGCCTTGACAGACGGGGGCGGGCTTCGCATCCTGGGTTCCAGAGCGAGGGCTGGACCCCCGGTGTGAGGGAGGAGGGGCTGGGCTGGACCCCTGGGTGTGAGGGAGGAGGGGCTGGGCTGCACCCCTGGGCATGAGGCAGGAGGGCTGGACCCCCGGTATGAGGGAGAAGGGGCTGGACCCCCGGTGTGAGGGAGGAGGGGCTGGGCTGGACCCCTGGGTGTGAGGGAGGAGGGGCTGGGCTGGACCCTTGGGTGTGAGGCAGGAGGGCTGGACCCCCGGTATGAGGGAGGAGGGGCTGGGCTGGACCCCTGGGTGTGAGGGAGGAGGGGCTGGGCTGGACCCCTGGGTGTGAGGGAGGAGGGTCTGGGCTGGACCCCTGGGTGTGAGGGAGGAGGGGCTGGGCTGGACCCCTGGGTGTGAGGGAGGAGGGGCTGGGCTGGACCCCTGGGTGTGAGGGAGGAGGGGCTGGACCCCTGGTCTGAGGGAGGAGATGGGAGTGTTGACCTCTGCCCTGACCTGATACCCCGACCCCAGCCAGGTACCCCAACGCTCTGCAGTGTGTGAACGTGAACATCTCCGGGGAGCAGGAGTGTCAGCGAGCCTATTCAGGAGCCATCAGGGAGGGCATGGTGTGCGCAGGCGTCCCGCAGGGAGGAAAGGACTCCTGTCAGGTGAGGAAGACTGGGCTGGAGTTGGACGGGAGTTGGGGGCCCCCCGGAGGAACGGACCTGGCTCCTGTCCTCCTCGGGAAAGCAGGACGACTCTTGTCCTGGGGCCACTGGACCACCCTCCCTCCCTGGGAGAGACGGGGGTGTGGGGAACAGTAAATGAGAAAGGCGCATGGCGGGCCTGTGGCCTCGGGATGCCGTCAGGTGTCCCATAACCCACACGGAAGTGTGTGGCTCCTGACCGTAACAGATGGCGGTTCAAGTCCTTGGGCACCTGCCAACAATGCGGCAGACCAGGGTGGAACCCCAGCATGGGCTGCCCGCCCACCCCCGGAGCTGGGAGCCCCCAGCGCCGCGTCCCAGCCTCCCTGACTCTGCATGCGCTTGCAGCTCCGCCCACCGTCCACTGCCCACCGCCCACTGCCCACCGCCCACCCGGTCTCCCTCTCTGTCCCCTCCCCCTCCCTCAGGGTGACTCCGGGGGACCGCTGGTATGTGGGGGACGGCTCCAAGGCGTGGTGTCATGGGGCATGGAGCGCTGCGCCCTGCCTGGCTACCCCGGAGTCTACACCAACCTGTGCAAATATGGAAAGTGGGTGCAGGAGACCATGCGGGGCAAATGAGGCCCTGCGGACCTGCTAAGCATGCCAGCCAGCTACCTGCTCCCTGTCCCAGGGCCCCCCATTCCGGCTTCCTCTCCTCCCCTGTAGCTACTGAAGCCCCCTTCAGCTGCAGAGGGTGGGGCACCAACTCCGGGTCCACAGGGGACCACACCCAGCGCTCCCAGTGTCTTCAAAGTGCATAAAATCATAAAAAAAAAAAAAGAACCCTCGTTGAATGCCTCCAGTGCTCTTTTATTTCGCTCAAGAAACGCACACAGCCCCTCACTCCCACCCCGCTCTGAGCGGGGGTTTTTTAAGCTCCACCTGCAGTGCCGCGCATCCGGTGCACGCACCTGTTCCTGCTGCTCCACTTCCGATCCAGCTCCCTGCTGACGCACCCAGCAAAGCAGCAGCGAAAGATGCGTTTTGAGGTCCTTGCTACTGACATAGGAGACCCAGAAGGAACTCCTGCCTGCAGCTTTAGTCAGCTGTATGGCCTTTTGGGGAGTGAGCCAGCGGATGGAAGATCTCTATTTTTCTCTCTCTTGCTGTAACTCTTTAGGATAATTTTTTAAAAGATTTATTTATTTTTATTGGAAAGTCAGATATACAGAAAGGAGGAGAGACAGAGAAGAAGATCTTCCATCGGATGATTCATTCCCCAAGTGACCACAATGGCCAGTGCTGCGCCGATCCGAAGCCAGGAGCAAGGAACTCCCATGCGGGTGCAGGGTCCCAAGGCTTTGGGCCGTCCTTGACTGCTGTCCTAGGCCACAAGCAGGGAGCTGGAAGGGAAGTGGAGCTGCCGGGATTAGAACCGGCATCCATATGGGATCCTGGTACGTTCAGGGCGAGGGCTTTAGCCGCTAGGACACGCCGCCGGGCCCAGAATAAATTTTAAAATCTTAAGAAGAAAGTAGCATGCCATGCCGCCATGTGCCCCCTCGCTCTGCTGCCCATCCGCGTGCCTAGTCTCTGGCCTGTGTAGGAAATGGCGGTGCCCACTGCAGTCCAGCCAGTGCCCTGCTGCCTGGAGGTGGAAGGCCCGCGTCCCAGGTCCCAGCCGATCCTCCCCGGGGGGAGAGCCGAGCGACTCACACGCCTGGATTCAAGTGCTGGCAGAACCTTTCTCTCATTTGCACTTTTTAATCCCCGGCTTCTGTACCCTCCTACCCCAAGGGCGGCCACACAGCCAGCCAGCCCTGGGTTTCCGGCACCCTGCGAAATCTTGCAGGGTGGCCCGGCTTGCTTCTAACTCAGCGGCAGCCGTCGTGTTGGCTGCTCGCTTTCACACCCACGACTCTTCGCGGGAACTTACTCTGCGCCCACTGCGTGCCCGGCAGGCAGCGGTGTCCTCGCTCTAGCCGACACACACGGAGCCAAGAGGGTAATGTAAAAGTGAAGCCGGGGAGTCGCTATGAGTAAAAAAGGCCGCTGGCCCCGGGCAGGGCGCGGGCCGGGGATGTGGTGGAGCCAGCTCCTGCTGGCAAGTGCTTCCTGGCAAAATATCAGGAATTTTAAAAGCTGGTTGCTAAAGACAGTCATCATTAAACATGAAGTTACATAAAGTAACAATTAAATAATTTCCTTTTTAAAAGAGTCAATAAAAGCTGGGGTCCTGTCTGCTGCTAATTATGGTAACGAGCACCCATGCTGGGAGGATGTTTCCCTCGGCGGGGAGGGGATGTGTTGGAGGCTTCTGGACAGCCCTTGCTGAGTCTGTCTGCTTGGCTTCTCACCGGGGGTCTGACAGCAACCCCAGGGGGCGCCCTCACACCCCAGAAACCGGCAGGTACACAGCTGTGCATGCCCCTGTCATGCTTTTACCTGGGAATGACCCAAGCAACTGGGCGTAGGTCTTGTTGCAACACAACATAAGATCCTCCTCATGCTGCCTGGGACACAGCCCGGGCCAGGGCACGCTTTGAGGGCAGCTCTGGGACTGCGTGCACCTGCTGCCCCCCACCACCACTAGGGACCCTAACAGCCTCCCTTAGCTCTACTCAGGAACCCCACCCCGTGGAATTATGAAGTGTCTCGTTAACGACGTATGTATCTATTTGAAAAGCAGTGATGGGCCCCAGCTCCATGGCCCAGGGGCTCAATCCTTGCCTTGCATGCACCAGGATCCCATATGGGCATCAGTTCTTGTCCCAGCTGCTGCACTTCCCTTCTAGCTCCCTGCTCCTGGCCTGGGAAAAGATGCTGCAGCCACATGGGAGACTCAAGAGGAGGCTCCTGGCTCCTGGCTTCGGATCTGCTGAGCTCTGGCCAATGCAGCCACTTGGGGAGCGAACCAGTGGACGCAAGATCTTGGTCCCTCTTTTTCTCTGTAAATCTGCCTTTCCAAGAAAAATAAATAAATCTGGAAGAGAGAGAGAGGGCCTGTTTTCCATCTATTGGTTCACTCCCCAGATGTCCACCTCAGCCAGAGTTATAAGAGAGGTCTTCCTTCTGCTGGTTCACTCCCCAGATGGCCACTGTGGTTGGGGCTGGGCCAGGCTGAAGCCAGGAGCCAGGAGCTTCTCCCAGGTCGGTGCTTCGGCTGCTTTCCCAGATGCATCAACCGGGAGCTGGATGGGAGGCAGAGCAGCTAGGGCTCAAGCAGCATGCATATGGGACGTCAAAGCTACAGATGGAGGCTTGAGGTGCTGTGCGACAGTGCTGGCCACAGAAAGCAGGGCTTGTTATCCTTCTGGGGGCCCGTACTGTCTCCCCACGGCCGTAGGACACCCACGACTCTTCCCGCCGACGCAGGACACAGCGCTCCCTGCTCTCCACTTCTCACCAGCCTCTGGCATCGCGTGTCCTTTGTTAGTAAGAGTTGCTCGTTTATCCGAAGGGCAGAATCTCAGCGAAGGAGCAGGAGAGAATGATCCCCCATGCACTGGTTCGCTCTTCGGATGCAAGGCAGGACTCAGGCCGAAAGCGGAAGCCAGGCGCTTGGGCTGCTTGGTCTCCCACAGGGGTGGCAGGGCAGCAGGGACTTGAGCCGCCTTCCGCCGCCTTCGCTGGCACATCAGCCGGAAGCTGGACTGGATGCGAAGCAGCCAGCACTCAAGCTCTCACACATGGAATGTTGGTGTTGCAAGCAGTGGATGAACCCACTGTGCCACCACACCGGTCCCATGGCCTGCCTTTGTAATACAAGTCATCCTGACCAGTGGAGGCTAACTCTGGGTTCTAATGCTCACTGACCTCATGACGGTTTTGTGACTCTGACCCCATTTACCAGGTAGCCATATATATACACATACACACATATATACTTTATTTATATTTAAAGCTAGTTTTTACAGAGAGAGAGATCTTCCATCTGCTGGTTCACTCCCCAAATGGCAGCAACAGCCAGAACTGGGCCAGTCCAAAGCCAGGAGCTTCATCTGGGTCTCCCACACGGGTGGAGGGGCCCAGCCCTAGGGCCGTCTTCGGCAGGGAGCTAGACTGGAAGTGGAGCAGCCAGGATGGGAACCAGCCGCAAACTGAAGCCCACGTGGATGTCAGCCCCACCGCCGGGGGCTCGGCCTGCTGTGCCACGGTGCCAGCCCTAACAAAGCTATTCCGATCCTTCGCTCTTTAGTTTTAAGATTCACTTGTTAGAGAGAGGGAACCAAATGTCCTCAACAGCCTGGGTTGGGCGAGCCAAACCTGTTTGGAGCCGGGACTGCATCCAGGTCTCCGTGCACAGAGACACTCGGTCCATGGGCCGTTCCCGCCCTCGGCAGGAAGCAGTAAAACGGCTAAGTCTCAAACCGACGCTTTTATAGGGATGTGGGCATCCCAGGCAAGGGCCTGGGGAACCCAACAGAAGCAGAGGGCGGAGAATGTGGGGGGGCGGGCAGAGTTAGTCACTGCTGCACAGCATGCAGCCCTGGAGTGTCAGAGTCCTGCCCCATTACAAAGAAAAACATCACCCCCCAGCCGTCTCTGGGGGCCTTGGGCTGCTGCCCACCGCTACCCAGCCGTGTCCCCGGGGCCTTGGGCTGCCCACTGCTCCCCAGCCGTGTCCCCGGGGCCTTGGGCTGCCCACCGCTCCCCAGCCGTCTCCCGAGGCCTTGCGCTGACAGTGTCACTCACAATGAGCACCAAGGAGCGTGTCCTGCCAGCTGAGCCTCTTCAGGACCTAGCGGTCCAGGCAGGTGGGCCACCACGCGTGTGTGGGCCTGGCCCCCAGCATCCAGGGCTCTGAGCAGCGGCTCCCCATGCAAGCAGTCACCCCTCGCTGCCACCCCAGGACCACACCCAGTGAGGGCAGCTGGACGCTCTGAACCGGCCTCTCCAAGGAGCCTGCCCCATCTGCTCTTGTTCACTGCCAGTTCATAACATTGACAGCTCTTCCTGCATTTTAGGAGTCCTTGTCAAATGTCCAACTCGGGGACTCCCAACCACGCAGCGTTAACCAAGGGGATGAGAAGAGGCAGAGGAAGAAAGGGCTCTAGAGACCTAAAAACAGCAGATGCCCCAGACTTAGGAAAGGAGACGCCTGGCAAGAAGGCGGTAGGTGGAGGGGCCCCTTCGGATACTGCATTCCAAACAGAGCCAGCGACAGAAGCAAAGCCATCAGACAGCAGCTGCAAAGGGCTGGGGCTGCCAGAGCCGGAGCCAGTGGCCCACGGGCCAGAGGTGACAATACACATGCGTGGGGTGAAAGGCGGTCTCAGGGCCAGCTGAAGGCCTTGGGGCCAGGGAGGAAGCGATGGAGACCCACCAGTGCCCTGCACAGGGGGCAGGGTCCATGGAGCCACTGGGCAGAGAGAGGGGCCACCCACGGGAACAGGAGGGGCCCTGGGAACTGACTTGGTGGAAAGGAAATTAGGGGAGAGGGAGGCTGGAGGGACTTTTAAAAAATGATTTTAAGGGAAAAAGGAAAAATCGGGGCAGGTGTGTAAAGCCCACAGCGTGTTCCCTGAGTCAGAGCAGGAGCAGCAGGATGGAAGGGGAACAGGCACGCCAGCCATGGGAGCGTCTGTTTCCCTCCGTGGCAGGTGCAGTTGTCCGTGGGGCACAAAGAGGTGGCAAGAATGACCCTGGCCAGCTCGGCTGTTGTCCTGGGAGAATCCCTGGTTCTTGTGCGTGAAGCCAGCCGAGTTAACAGGTGTGCCACCTGAGCGAAGCTCTGGTCTCAGGTACCCCAGCCTCGCTCCCACCAAATGGGTCCAGCGAACGTGCAGGCGTCGCCTCTCCCCGCTCCCTCGGGGGTGGGGTGGGGGTGGCATGGGGCCCCTCCTCCGGGCCTGGGTGTGGGGCCGACTTTCTCGGCACAGCTGCACGGCTTTCAACCAGAACTTCCAGTTTGTGCTTGACAAAGCATCCCATTTTGAAGCAAGCTAGGGCAGGGCCTCCTCCCTCAGGGACCTGGGGCTGCTCCGTGGCCCTGTGGGCTTTATCAATACACCTATGGCCCCTGGTCTCTCCTAAGTGTCATCCATCGCAGCTCCGTGCAGGGGTCAGGGGTGGGGCAGAGGGTAATGATGCCGAGGCCCAGAGCGGCCCTCCTCCTTTCTCCAGCCCTGTCTTCCACACGGGGAAAGAGCTGAATGTGTGAGAGCAGGACCTGGACCGGCTCCAGCTGCTGGCTGACTTTCAGCTGTGGGCACCCCGCACCCCTTGCGTCATCACTCAAGCAAGGGGGCGGGAGGTACCCAGCCCTCCGTGGGTCCGTGACCTCTCTTCTAAGAGAGCCAGCCAACCTGGGACCCGGCCAATCAGAACCCCCGCACGATCCACATGAACCCAGCGCTCACCCCTCAGCCAATGCCAAAGCCAGCCACCCCCACTCGGCCTTTCCCAAGTGAGAAACACTTTTCCGGAAACAGGGGCCCAGGCCACACCAGGGCACAGATACCCCAACTGCCCACACAGCTCAGTCACCTCACTTAACCTGGCATCCTCCCTCCAGCCACCCCACCTGAACCCAGCACCACACACACAGCCCACTGCGGAGCCCTGCTCTGCCAGCGTGGAGAAGTGGCCCAGCGCCACCTCACCCCCAACCCTCCTGCCGTTCACACACTTGCTGCATCTCAGAACCCTTTCAGCAAACACAGCCCCATCCCTGCCCCTGTGACCCAGTCCTCTCCCCAGGCCAGTCTGGCAGCAGCTCCAACCCACCTGCCCAGCCTCAACCCATCCTCCTTAGACTTACTGCCCTCCCCACGCTGTCCTCAGACCCCCTATAAACCTAGCTACAGACTCGACCAGATTCCTACAGGAAACCAGCCTCTTCATGCTAGTGAAAGCTTGCTTCGAATAGTCCCCAGCAGGCATCTTTGATGGAGACCTAACTGCTCTATTTGGTTTAAGGAGGTCTCTGAGTGTGACTCTTAAATGATTGGATGGTTGGGGCCCAGAGCTATGGTTCAATAACTAAATCCTTGCAAGCACCAGCATCCCATTTGGGCACCGGTTCATGTTCTGGTCACTCCACTTCCTGTCCAGTTCCCTCCTAGCAGAGGACAGCCCAAAGCCTTGGGACCCTCTGCCTGTGTGGGAGACCCAGAAGAAGCTCCTGGCTTCAAATCAGATCAGCTTTGGCTATTGCAGCCACTTGAGGAATGAACCAGCAGATGGAAGATCTTCCTGTCTCTCCTTCTTTCTGTAAATCTCTTTCCAATAAAAGTAACTAAATCTTTTAAAAAATAAACAGATGGTGGAATGGCTGACAGATACACCCATGGTTCTTATCCATGACCATGCAAGTGAATTTTGGCTGGTGGCAGTTCAATTACTTTCTGTCTGTTGGCCCGAGTAGGAAGACATTGAGGCATCTCTTTGTGAATCCATTTCAACGTTTCTTTTTGTGTGTGTGGTTCTTACAACAACAACAAAAAGTAAGATGTGTTTGAAGGGCAGAAAGACGAGAGGGCAAGCTTCCATTCTCTGGCTCACTCACTGTTGCCCAGCACAGCCGAGGTCGGGCCGGGCCCCAGGTGGCCATCAGGAGCTCCTTCTGGATCTCCTACGTGGGCCCGTGCCCTCGCGCCCATCAGCTGCTGCCTCCCCAGGGTGCTCGGTAACAGGGGGCAGGATCACAAGCAGAGCCAGGTGCCCCAGCGGGCAGCGCAGGGCACCCCAAGTGGCGGCTTGGCAGCAGCGCCAAACGCCCACCCCTGCGTGCGGTTCCCCGGGATATCTTCCCGGTCCGTTACTTGCTAATGGATCCAAATAAAATCTGTGGAGACTCATAGCCGGACCCTTTCCAGGAGGAAAGGCAGAGGTGACTTCGGCTCCACGCTCTGCCCCTGCACATACACCCCCCCCCCCCATCGGCCTCCTCCACCCCCTCTTCTCGCAGTGACATCAATGCCACCACGCTTGGTTCTCTGCTTCCACCCGGTCCTCACATCCCTGTTGGCTTCCCTCCAAATTCCGACCCCACCTCTGTCCTTCTTAATCCCTAATCCTGCCCCCTCCACCCCCTGGGATTAACTCACAAAACTCCACCCTGGCCCCAGTTCCAGGAGACGCCTACTCATTCCCAAAAACGCCACCCCTTCCTCCTTCCTCTTCCCGTGCCCCTTCCTTGCTGCCAGCCCCTGGTGCCCGGCGGGTCCACCTCTGCCTCTCCACCCATCGTCTCCTTCACCCCGGGGCTGGCTTTGGGGCTTGCACTGATTCAAGTTGTCTGTTTCCCAGGCCCAGCGGTGCCCACTGTGTGTGTGTGTGTGTGTGTGTGTGTGTGTGTGTGTGTGTGTGTGTGTCCTGGGGGCTGGAGTTGATGCACATTGAATCACCCCTGTGGCTTTCAGAAGAAAAAGGGTCCAAGAGGAGGCTGGGAATTTGGGGGGCCCTGAATGTCTTGGGGTCTGGTGCTGGATGTAAAGCTGCAGATGGGATTGGAGTTGAGGGATGTAGGAACAGAGAGGAGGCATGAAATGGGGTGCCACTGTGGGATGCCTGTCAAACAAGCACCAGGCTGGAGGAAGTTAGGGGATGGGGATGGGGAACGGGCTGTTACGGGTGGTGGAGGGCTGGGATTGGGGCTTGCCAAGGGACTGCTGTGGCTTCCTGCTGCCCCAGCCAAGGGGCCAGGTCCAGCCGCCTGCAGGTTCACAGTGGGTTCACATGTGGTGTGGGCGGAACCAGATCTGGGTCCCAGCCTGTCCTGCAAGCTCCGCCCCCCCAGCGGAGGGCCAAGCCCAGGCTGGGGGGTGCTTGTCTCCTGCCTGCTAAGCGGCAGGGGGTGGAGAGGGGGAGGCCAACACCGGGAAATGCAGAGCGCACTGGGGGAGGGAGTGCAGGGGTTAAAAGCCATGGGCCGGGGCTGAAGCTCCAGGCTGCTGGCAGCAGACGCGCTTCGCCCCCCTCCCCGCCCCTCGCTCAGGTAGGGTCGCCTGGGGGGAGGTGGGCGTCGGGAGGCGGAAAATGGAGAGGAGCCGGGCGCTGGACAAAGTGCTGAGCTCAGCGACTGCAGGGGGACGCGGCCCGAAAGACGCACCCCTGCGAGGGGCCTGGGAGGGATGCAGCCCGCTGGGCAGCTAAGGGGTGTTGGTTGGCCCGAGACCCGCCCAGAGAGGGGAGAAGGGACCACTTCTCGACCCCGGAGAGGGGCTAGAATGTAAGGCGGCTCTGAGGCAAGGGGTGACGAGGGCTCACTGAAGACCCCGGGCCTTGGAGGGGGCCGCCCCCCGAGAGTAGGAGGGGGCGGGGGATGCTGTGAAGCCTAGCGCGAAGCAGGTGCGCCCCTCTCCCGCCCCGCGCCTGGGCAGCCCCCTCTCCCCGCCCCGCACCTGGGCAGCCCCTGGGCATCGGAACTGGGGCAGACGGCAGGGCTGTCAGCAGGTGAGGAAGCACAGGAGCCTAGGGGTCGCGGATGCGGGGGCTCCAGGTCGGCCCTCACCATTCTCCTCCGCCCCATCCTCTCCGCAGGCCCCGCCCGCCTGTCCCCCACCCCCGTCCGGTCCCGGAGCCGCCATGTGGCCCCTGGCCGCTGCAATCACCTTCCTGACCGTGGCCCAGTCAGGAGGTAAGCACGCACGTGGGCGGAGGCGCGGTGGCCTCTGGCGACAATGGTGGGAGGGGTCGATGGGGAGGAGGGGGCGTGGGAGCCACGAGCTCCACCTCCCCCGCCCACTCGGGCCCGGGTCCCTCGGGGACACTCACAGCGCTTCCTGCCTGTCCCCAAGTGACCTGGTTCCTGGACCTCGGGGGGGGGCCCAGACCCCTCCCTGGGGCACCCCAGCTGCAACAGCTGGAGCTAAGCTGCAGCCGGGAGCTTCTTCCAGATCTCCCACGTGGGTACAGGGGTCTGAGCGCTTGGGCCGTCCTCAGCTGCTTTCCTAGACGCACGAGCCCAGAGGTGGATCAGAAGCAGAGCAGTGGGCACCTTGACCCGGTGCTTATACGGAATGCTGATCTGCGTTATTAGTTCATTCATTAGTGCCGTGAGCCAAGCGAAGGCTCCAGTGAGCCCACCCAGGAGCCTGCCCTCCCCGCCACCCCCCCCCCCCAAGGAGGAGGGTCTGGGTGCCCGGGGGCGTGCTTCCCCTCTCCGTGGCATCACTCCAGGCTCTCAGCCTCCTGCCCTTCCCGGCCCACGCCCTGCACATGCTCCGTCTTGTGGCGCTCCCAGCAGCTGCGTGAGGCGGGTGCTCTGTCAGCACTTGAGCTTCGTGCATGAAAAGCCCAGGATGCACTTACAATCCGGAGGGTTTTCATTGCACTAAAAGGCCACTGTAAAGAAAGGTCTGCACGGCCACCCTGGTTGGAAAATAGTCTCCTTTGGCAAAACTACAAGGTAAGATGACCTCAGCCAGCTCATCATGAGGAGAGACAGGCTGCAGGTCAAGCCACCTGGCCTTTGCCGGCCTCCCTAGAGTCACGATTCCAGGCGGTTCAGCCCATGGGGACTGCACAGCTGCCCCTGCCCACCGCATCAGCCACTGTGCCGCAAGTTGGAAATGCAGGCGCTCACTGAGTCAACGGGTGTTTCGGACAGCTGGGGAAACTGAAGCTGCTGGCTTGCTCAAGATCACATGATCAGAAAATGGTGCATGCAAGCCTGGGCTCTGTGCCACACTGCTCCCAACACCTGGTACAGTGCCTGCCACACAGCATTCACTTCCTGTGTGCCAGGAACACAGAGACACGGCCCCAAGTGAAGCGGTTTGGGTGCTGAATGTGGAGAAATGAATACAAAGAGTGGTAATGGTCTCGGATAGAACCCACTGGGGCGGCCGGGGGTCACTTGAAGAGGGGCTGTCTGAGCTCAGCTCACAGAATCTAGAAAGACTCTGTCATGTGCTCCAGGCTGTGAGCACCAGCCAGTGAGACGCCTGTGTGTCTTGTTGGCACTGCCATCTGGGCGCTACTGGATGTTCGAAATCGTAGTGTAAGTGCGCCACGCCTGGTTAGGGACCTCTGTATTGAACTGAGAGCAAGCCGTGAGTACGAAGAGTCAGACATGTTACACAGCAGGTGCAGGAGACTGGGAGGAGGACCCAAGAGGAGACAGAGGAGAAGGGGCCAGATAGGCTGGTGGGAAGCAGCTGCTGCAGACTCAGCACCCTTGGCTTTGGGGTTTTGTTTGAAAGGCATTCAAGGACTTTGCTGAATCTTTGTTTTAAGAATCCTCAGGCTGCACTGGTAGGGAAGGATTAGAGGGAAGCGGAAGTGGATGCTGTGCTGGGATGGGACCAGGATGGGGGCGGGGGAGCTGTAGAGACCAGATGTCTAGGTGGTAATACCAGAGCTGGTTGTGAATGGTGATGGAGAGAAAGGGAAGTGAAGATGACTCCTGGCGAGAAATAGTTTCGGTTGAGACAAATCTGATTGGGGATGCATATGAGTATCCAGCTTAAAGGAAGAACCGGGCTGGAGCTGAGAGTTTACCAGTGGTTAGTCTGTGGGTGTTACTCAAAGCCACGGAGGCACCCAGTAAACAAGTGTTGAAAGGATGTGTGGATGGATGAATCAATGGGTGGGTGGATGGATAGATGAATCAACAGGTGGATGTGTGAATGGATGAATGGGTGGATCAATGCATACTGCCTGGATGGATGGATGGATGAATGAATGAATGGATGGGTTAGTGAATGGATGAATGGACAGATCAATGGATACTGCCTGGATGGATGGATGGATGAGTTAGTGAATGGATGAACGGACAGATCAATGGATACGGCCTGAATGGATGGTTGGATGGATGGATGGATGGATGGATAATGCCTCAATGAATCAATGAATCAATGGGTGGGTGGTTGGCTCAATGGATACTGCCAGACTGGAGATGTAGATCACGCTGACTTCCACTTTCTGGAAGGACATCCAAGTAGAGAAATGTGGGCTGCTTCTTAACAATTAGAACCCCCTCTTTCTGTCCCTCTCTTCTCTCAACCTCTGGTGGAGGATTTGGCACTTTCTGTCCTGTGTCATCTCCATCTTATCCCCATTAGGTAGAAAATGGCAACTCCTACAGGCCGACATGTGAATCATCAGTTCCTGGTCACCTAGATCAAAAGTCCAGCCCTTTCCCCACCGACCCCAGGAGCCACAGTCCCAGGCCTCCTCCTCATCGTTGGGCTCACCTCTCTACTGATTTCTCTCCCCAACCAGGCATCTCCCGGGAGTTTCCCAAGATTCTCAATGGCACCAACGGGACCAATGGACCTCTCCCAGGTGGCTACACCTGCCTCCCATACTCTCAGCCATGGCAAGCAGCCTTGCTGGTGCGAGGGCGGCTGCTCTGTGGAGGAGTCCTGGTGCACCCCAAATGGGTCCTGACAGCTGCACACTGTCGAAAAGAGTACGTGGGAGCCATGGGAGCTTGGGGTAGGCATGAAAAGGGACCTGTGGGGAGTAGGGGTGGGTTGGAGCTAGATGTGAAGATGAGGTTGGAGTTACAGTGGAGGGTGAGCCTGGGGCTGAGTATGAGGGTTGGATTTGGGAAGAGAGTTGAGGTAGAAGAGCATTGGGATGACCGGCCTAGAGGATGGGGAAGAAGCTGAGGCTGGGATGGGGCTGGAGGGCCTTGCTCTCCGCCCTAACCACCCCCTTCCTGCACCCACAGTGGGTACAGAGTTTACCTGGGCAAACATGCCCTGGGGCGTGTGGAGACCGGCGAGCAGGTGAGGGAGGTGGTCCGCTCTATCCCCCACCCCGAATACCAGGTCAGTGCTACCCATCTGAACCATGACCACGACATCATGCTTCTGGAACTGGAGGCCCCGGTCCAGCCCACCGGCCATATCCGCACCCTGCCCCTTTCCCATGACAACTGCTTGCCCGCTGGCACCTGCTGCCTGGTGTCTGGCTGGGGCACCACCACCAGTCCCCAAGGTACGTACCACATAGGAGTGGCAGGGGGAGCTGGAGCACAGCTGAGAGAGTTCCTTTATATAAGAAAATAATGCGTTGTTATTTATCCTCCCTCTAGGTTGTCTGCAATATGCCACATAATTTATATAGACCATATGATACAACACATACATTATAATGTACTTTATATAGTCATGTTGATATAAATGTATAAACAGTGCATAACCTATGTGGTTATTTTGGAAGCATGTGTGTTATATATTATAATATGTAATTTATGTCATAATTATATGTCTCATATATTTTTATATAGGGCATACATGGTATATATTTACATCATATAACTGTATCTCACACATTATAAAATATAAGTCATAAAATGCTTCTAATATATTAATAATGGCATACCTGTTGAATTACAGAATATACATAAGCCTTTGCATGTAATTTAGATATCAATATAAAGTTTCTATATATCCCAAGTTCATTGTCCGTTAGTTCCCTGCTGCTCTCCCCAACAAGCCCCGTCTCTCTTCCTGTCCCTCTTTCCGACTCTCCCACATCTCCTCTGACCGTTCACCTCGCTTTCCCATCTGCCGTTGTTTGCTTTGTGCCATCTCTGTCTTCCTCTCTCCTCCAGGCTCTCTCTGCATCCCTCTTGCCCAACACCTGTTCCTCCTTCCCGCCCTTCTGTGCCACCTCCCCTCTTCATTCTGCCCTGCATCTCTCTTCCCCTTCACCCTCCTCCATGTCTCCCCATGTCTGTCTCTTCCATCCCTGCCCCCCTTTTCCCTCCCCATCCTTGTTCCCTACCACCTGCACCTCCTGTTTAGCCCCCACGCCCCTTGGTCTCACCTACAACAATTTTCTTTAGAACTTCTCTCTCTCTCCCCCCAGTGAGTTACCCCAAAACCCTACAGTGTGCCAACATCCAGCTTCGCTCAGATGAGGAGTGTCATCAGGTCTACCCGGGCAAGATCACCCCCAACATGCTGTGTGCCGGCACCCAAGAGGGCGGGAAGGACTCCTGTGAGGTGAGATGTGGCTGTTGTCGCTCCATAGCCAGGATGGAGATGAGGGGAAGGACTCACTTCCAGCTTTGTGGGCACCAACCCCTCCAACAGAGGAGGGTCGAGACAATGAGGAGGCACCCAGGGAAGGCAAGCATGCGCCATCATCATGCTCTGACTGGCTTTCCAGGTCCCCGTGTTGCTGTCCCAGTTGCGAGTTACAGAAATCCAACTCCTACTGGTTTAAGCAAACCCTGCCTCCCCACCAAATAATAATAAAGAGAGAGAGTTTTGATCCAGAGGTAACAGCTTCAGGTTAGATGACCCAATTGCTCTTTCCTTGCTCGTTCCATCTTTGTTCTCAATTAGACTCTTCCTAGGCAATGGCACAAAGTCTCCAGCAGCCTTGGAGCCACCATCTAACAGCCTTACTGGAAAGAAAGCATATCTCTCTTTCAGTGGCCTATAGGAAGGTCTTGAGCTTGATTCTCACCAAGTCCTGTGTCCTGGGCCGTCACTGTGTGCCCGAGCCATGGGCATCCCCGACAGACCCAGTCAGAGTTCCAGGACTGACCAGGGAAGCCGGGGAGGGGACAGCATCCAGCGGCAAAGACTGAGAGTGGGCAGGATATTTTCCACTTAAAAAAAACTGGTGGCTGTGACCGAAAGAAGGAAGCAATTGTCACTTGTGCAGAAAGCACCCATGTCCCATGCAAGGAACTTTGAAGATAAGGGCCTTGGCTCCGTGGAAAAGAGCTTGCTAATGAATGACGTGGCCCTTGCTGACCACTTTGGACCCAAGAGGGAGATGTGCAAGTGAAGTGCACACACAAATGCAGACACTAAACTCGAGAGCAAAGTCGGTACAGAAGAACCAGACAGCAGGAATGAGGCTGGATGGTCAGGGGTCAAGGAATACAAGAGAGAATTGGATGCCAGGGAGCACTTTCATGGGACTCAAGAATGGAAGAAAGCAGACACAACAGCTAGTCCTCTTTCCCCCACCCGCCCATTCTGTCTCTACCTTGGTCTCAGAATTTTTCCCGACCTCCCCAGTTATTTCTGTCCATCTGTGGTTTTTCTCTGCCGTTCTCTTCCACCCTGACTCTGTCGCATTCCTAACGTCTGATTCTTTCACTCTCTTCCCCTATCGCCCCATCTCTATTTTGTTCTCTCATGAACCCCTCTTTCTCTCTCTCCAACTCAGGGTGACTCCGGGGGCCCGCTGGTCTGCAACGGAACCCTCCATGGCATCATCTCCTGGGGAGACTTCCCATGCGGGCAGCCCAACCGGCCTGGGGTCTATACCCGGGTCCCGCAGTATGTCCAGTGGATCCGAGACACTATCCGAAGACACAAATCACGGGCGCGGGAATGGACGAAGGACACACAGTGAGAGTTGGGCTCACGTACTCAACTCCTTCTTTCCAACGTGCCCTCCTCGATTTGTCTGCCCATCTCCTCTGCCCCCTCAAAGTGCTGTGCTCCAACCACGCTCTCAGAGATGTCCTACCAAATGGCTACTCATTCAGCTTCACAGCCAAACATCCCCATCACCCAAATTCCCCAACAGAGAACATCCCGTCTCTCAGCCACACAGGCGTAACCACCACAAACCCAGGTCACTGCGTGGGAATATCCTTGGATACATCCGTTAGCCCAGCCCCATAGCATCCTGCCTCCTGAATGACGTGCTACAGTCCATCAAATATTTATTCACTGCCAGTCTACTAGCGTCTTCTATGTTTCACACTCAAGAACGTTTCAGAATCCTGTATTTCATCCTGAAAATACTCTCTTATGCCCAGAACATTCCATGTCTCTCTAAGTGCTCCATCACTACTAATGGACCATTTTCAAAATGGTTCATTCCCATACGGTTCTTGTTTCAGGGCTGTCTTAACCCAACCTCTATCCGTATCCCTCATCTGTGCCTCTCTCTCTGAACCCTTACACTCACTCCTGAACGCTGGCACTTTAGTCCCTATGGCCATGGGTCCAGTTCACCACACTGGGCCACAGCAATCCACCAACTATTGTGTCTCCAGGATATCATCTACAATGTCCCTATTTGGAAAGTGAACCAATAATGAAAGATCACTCTCTCTTTACCTTTCAAATAAAGTAAAAATAAATTCAAAAAATTAAAGATGAATAAAGAAATGAGCTATCAGGTGGTAATAAAAAACAAAGGGCCTGGTGTGATGGCTCAGTAGCTAACCCTTCACCTTGCATTGCCGGGACCCCATGTGGGTGCCAGCTCATGTCCCTGCAGCTCCAATTCCCATCCAGCTCCCTGCCTGTGGCCTGGGAAAGCAGGAAAGGACAGCTTTGGGACCTGCACCCACATGGGATACATAGAGGAAGCTCCTGGCCCCTGGCTTCGGATCAGCTCAGCTCCAACCGTTGCGGCTGCTTGGGGAGTGAACCATCGGACAGAAGATCTTCCTCTCTGCCTCTCCTCTCTGTATATCTGCCTTTCCAATAAATTTTAAAAAGAAAATTAGATGAAGCTAAAAAAAAAAAGGGGGTTGTGGGAACCCTGGGCTTGCAGTCAAGCATTTTGGGGTCACCACTTCCATCATTGTTGGGTGTTTAGCCAGAGACTGGAGGAGGCAGCTGGAACTGAAACTATGGCATCTCCAGGCTGTGTTCCTCCGCTGTGATGGGGAAGGGTCCTGAAGCAGATCAGATCCACGTCAGACTGCGAGGGTTGGGTGGAGGTGGTGGGAGCCCAAGATGAATCTGGAGCTAACTGCATAGCCAGGCAGGCTAGCAGAGGCCAAGAGAAGGGGACAACTGAGAAAGCCCTTGGTCTGGCATCAAAGACGCGTGGTGACATAGTTGGGTCATCAGCAACACTGAACTTGGCTCCCGGGGAAAGCAGAGCTGGGTTCAGGCGAATACGGGATTCCAGGGTCAGTGTTTTCATCCATTTGGTGGCTCTGCTGCCCACTGAGCATGGAAAAAGGCCCGTTTCGGAGGTAGAGGTGGGCGAGAGAACAATCTTTATTACTAGCCAATGAAGAAGGCAGGAGGTATGGCTCCAATCTGTCCCTCCAATCGGGGACCTGCCTGGGTTCTTTCACGGATTATTTTAGGAGAAAGCTGCTTGGTGGACCCAATGGCCAGGCAAGTTCCCGTTGGAATAACCCAGCATGATAAATAGACTTTTCTAAACAAGATTTATTTATTTTTATTGAAAAGGCGGGTATACAAAGAGGAGGAGAGACAGAGAAGAAGATCTTCTATCGGATGGTTTACTTCCTAAGTGGCTGCAACGGCTGAGCTGAGCCAATCCAAAGCCAGGAGCCAGGAGCTCTTCTGGGTCTCCCACTTGGGAGCAGTGTCCCAAGGCTTTGGGCTGTCCTCAACTACTGTCCCAGGCCACAAGCAGGGAGCTGTATGGGAAGCAGGGCTGCCGGGATTAGAACCAGGGTCCATATGGGATCCTGGCGCATGCAAGAAGAGAACTTTAACCACTACGCTATCGAGCCGAGCCCGATAAATAGACTTTTTTTTTTTAAAGATTTATTTTTATTATTTTTTTATTGGAAAGGCGGATATACAGAGAGAGACAGAGAGGAAGATCTTCCGTCCGATGATTCACTCCCCAAGTGAGCGCAACGGTCCGATACTATGCCGATCCGAAGCCAGGAGCCTCTTCCGGGTCTCCCACGCGGGTGCAGGTTCCCAAAGCCTTGGGCCGTCCTCGACTGCTTTCCCGGGCCACAGGCAGGGAGCTGGAAGGGAAGCAGGGCTGCCGGGATTAGAACCGGCAGCCAGATGGGATGCTGGTGCGTGCAAGGCGAGGACCTTTAACCACTTGCGCCACCGCGCCGGGCGCGATAAATAGACTTTTAATGTGGGATTTCCTTGCCCAATGGAAAGGTCCCAGTATATTTAGATTCTGACTTGTTTAAGTTCTGGTAGTGCTCCAATTACTTTGGTCCCATGAGCTAAGTTTCTTTCTGCGTATGCCCAGACTAGCAGCTTGTGGCTCTGGGTTCCCTCTGTGCATGTGCGATCCTGTCCTGAGCCATTCTCCTAAGAGACTTACACAGTTAGGACCAGCCTGCTAGGCAGGAGAACTTTCTAGAAAAGGATGAGGGAGGGGGACATTACTAGAGGTTTTTGACTCTGGGATGTCAGAGAAAGCCGTGTCAAGGGTAGCCCCACCCAACATCAACGTCACATAACCTTGCTTGTGGGTGTGTGTTGAAAGACACCTTATTTAACAAATGTTGTCAGTCATGAACTCATCCAATCCCATTGTTAAGTTGAGCCGGAACGGAGCTTATGGAACACGCATGTTCTCCACTGGACACGTACCAGCGTTTTCACACACAGGAACTCTAGCAGCACTCAGCTCTACACGGAGGGGTCTTCTTAAAGTACTTAAATAGCAAAGATCCCCAAATACGGAGACCACATCACCAAAGAGCAGGTATGTCCACAAGGAGACCCAGCTTGACCGCAGCAGTGAGCAGGCACATCTGGCAATCCAGAAATTTTTCTTTTCTTCTTTTTTAAAGACAGATTTACAAAGACGAGGAGAAAAAGATCTTCTGTCCACTGGTTTACTTCCAAGAGGCCACAACAGCCGGTGCTGCACCACCAATCCAAAGTCAGGAGCTTGTTCCGGGTCTCCCACACAGGTGCAGGGTACCAAGGCCTTGGGCCGTCCTCAACCGCCTTCCCAGGCCACAGGCAGGGAGCTGGATGGGAAGTGGGGCAGTTGGGACATGAACCAGCTGCCGTATAGGATCCCTAGTGGAAAGGAGCTGGGACTTGAGTCGGCACCCATGTGGGATGCTGGCACCACAGGCGGCAGCTTAACCCCTCGTGCCCAGGGTGTCTAGATTCTTCACCAGCCCATTCATTCCCACAAACACCTCCAAAGCACTGCTTTGGGGTTGCCCATCAATTTTATCAAATAGGGAAACAGAAAAACGCAGAATTTGTGAGGAATGCCCATCATGGAACACTATGGAGTGGATAAAAGCAACTGTGTCTGACTAGCCGGAAGAATCCAGTCTTAAAGGTGTGCTGCTACTAACTGTAGTGGCGAGAGTTGACATGGACGGCATGACAGCACCTGCCATGCCCCCTGGTAACACAGCAGAGCTGCCATGTTGGGAATGTTGGGTAATTTCTCATCAAGTTGAACACATTTCCCAGGATCCATCGATTTCATTTTCATGGACATCTGCCCAGGGAAGACAAATACCTACGCTCACGCTCAGTGATGTGTTTTTGTTTCTGGGTTTTTCTTTTTAAAGATTTACCAATGTTTGTTGGAAAGACAGATTTACAGAGAGAAGAGTTAGAAAGATCTTCCATCTGCTAGTTTACTCCCCAAATGGCCACAATGGTAAAAGCTGAGCCGTTTCAAAGCCAGGAGTCAGGAGCTTCTTCCAGGCCTCCTACGCAGCAGGCACAGCGTCCCAAGGCGTTGGACCATCCTCCACCCCGGCCATAAGCAGAGAGCTGGACGGGACGTGGACACAAACCAGTACCCATGTGGGTTGCCAACACTTAGAGGATTAGCCAACAGTCAATGCATCATTCCCCCCATACACATACACAAAATAATTTGTGCATAAATGTTCAAAACAGAGTTATTAGCAATAACAACATTAGTAACAACATCCCATAACTGCTAATGGGATAAGCTGTCCAATCAACACTGCTCAGCAGTAGATGGATACGGACCGAATCACGGAGTGAAACACGGATGAATCTCACAGGCATTGTGGTCGCGGAAGAAGGCACCCACTGACGCGGTGACAGAATGTGCGTCCACAGCAGCCTAGGGCCAGGGAGGAAGCTTTGAGGAAGGAGCAGCTTGGGGATGGGGCAGGGGAGAGAGGAGGGGGCTGTTTTATGTGTTTTTAGTTTATTTGAGAGGCAAAGAGACAAGAGTTTCCTTCCACTGCTTCTCTCCCCAAATGCTTTCAATGCCTGGCATTGAGCTGGAGCCATCCAGGTGTCCCCTGTGGGCGTCTCCATCCAGGTGTCCCCGTCGGCGTCTCCATCCAGGTGTCCCCTGTGGGCGTCATGGATCCAAGGCCTTGAGCTAGCACCTGCTCGCTCCCAGGGATGTGCATTAACAAGAAGCTGGTTGTGAAGGTGGAGGCTTGGTTTGGTCCCAGGTGCTCTGATGTCCCAGGTGGTAGCTTAACCTGCTAGGCCACATGGCAACTGCAAGCGGCTCCTTTGGTGACAAGTTCCTGTTTTACCTGCATGTTGCAAAGCTGTGCCATCATAAATACTGTCGCAAAAAAAGATACACAATAATAAAGATAGCAGGGAACAAACCTAGGATAACAGAGATAGCAACTCAAAGATGCACAATGGCAGAAGGGAAGGGATTAAAACAAACGCAGAAGGAAA